AAAAGAGCAGGCAAAGACAATGGCTCTAAATAGTGCAGGCTTTAGCGACCAAAGATGAGACTCCACCCAGCCTCACCCTAGTCCCCCGTTTCCCTCCTTGTTCCACCTCAGGAAGTCCCCAGGGAATGGGAGACTTGCTATCAAGTCCTGACAGACATGGAGAACAGAGTGACACATTCCTTTCCCTGTGACACTTGGCCAAGCACACACCTTTGAGGAGCCCTCGGGGAGGGTAAGCTGCCGCTGATGGGCCTTGTAATCAAACTTGTAGTAGGTGTGGAGAATGCGCCTCAAGTAGATGCGACAAATCTCCTCAGTGGTGCCCTTCTCTTCCAGGTAGCGCTGCACGCGATCGATGATGGCACACACCTGCGCCTCATCCTTCAAGTGCTCCACGTACTCTGAGAAGGAGAGCATCCACCCTCAGCTCAGCCAAGCACCCAAGCGTTCCCAGCCATCTGTCACTGATCAGTCCAGGTGTCTCTGTATATGTTTCCTGCACCCACTGGAAGTCTACTTGCTAGGCTCTGAAAACACCATCCTGCCTGAAACTTGCCAAGCTCACTTTCTGTCCCTCCTGTCAGGTGTTCTCTTCTGCTAGTTCCTCCCTTGATTAACTCCTCCTCTTCCTCATTCCAATCTCACTTCAAAGGGCCCCTACTAAGGATCATTATCTAAAGCAGCCACTACTCCAGTCGCTTTCTACTACGTCCCAATTTGAATTTCTAATTCACACTTCATATCACCTACATTTACCTCGTTTATTTATTTGAATTGCCTTTCCCCAGCACCGAATGTAAATTCTATGAGCATGAAGGACATCCCTAGTTGTCTTGTTCACCATTACACCCTTGACTCAGTGGGCACGTATGGGCATTCACATTTTACTGAGTAATGTCCTGTATTTTCCCCATCCCAATGCCTCTAATCCAAGCAAAACAAGCCAAGTGGACAATGATTCTCAAAGTGCAGTCCCCAGACCAACAGCACCACCTAGTATATGTCAGAAATGCAAATTATGGGGCCCCACCCAGACCTATTGAATTAGAAGCTATGGGGGTGGGGCCCAGTGTCTTAGGTCCTCCAGTGTGAATGCGGGGGTAAGGAAGGGCTGGCTTTCCAAACATTCTATTATAATCCTTAGTTTTATTCCTTGCACTTTTCCTCTCACTGACACCCACACTTGCGCAGGCTTACCTTGGGAGTGAGGATCAGTATTTTGCATTATTTTGGTAAATTCTTCATCCATCCGTTCCACCAGAGTTAGGATACAGCCACGGACACGCAGCGGCTGAAAAGGTAGAGGAGGAGTAAACATATCAGCCTTGATCTCAGCCCTGCTAATCCTTCTATCTCTACTGAGCTTTCCCAGAGCAGACAACATATACCTCTCTAATTAGCCTGCTAATCCCTCTCTTTACCTGGTCAACATTATGCAGATTCTCGCTCTCTTCCAGAATGTTCTCTCCAACAAAGATGTTGGGGTTTGCAAACAGGATGTCCATCAGCTCATTGATGCAGTCCAGGCACTTCTGCCACATCTCGGGCTGCCGAGAGATCAGAAGGCAATCAGAGGTGTGCAGGTGGAATAAGCAGATGCCTCCCAAGAGCCCCTTCACCAGGAATCCCTGGGGCCTTCAACCACCAAGGCTGTTTCCACAGCCCTTGAGTTTTAAGACATGCAGTACCCTCCCCTGACCCACCAGCTTCAGCCCTGGGATGTTCCTCTTTGCTGCCCTCACCTTCATGTATGTGGCCAGATTGGGGTTGTAGTCATAGAGAGATGCAATGATATTGAACTTGATCTTGACAATGACACCCTCCCCAAGATTGTTTTCAGAAGCAATCTGAACCAGCAGCTGTAACAGCTCAATCTGGGCTGCACTGGAAAGGTACAAAACAGGGTGAGGCATTAGAGACAAGTCAGAAAGCCTCATCCTGTCATGCAGCACAGCCCCTTCAGACCAGTAAGGTGGGCTCATTTCTATTATCCCTATCCTCCCCACCTCTATCCCACTT